CTGCGGGAGGGGAAGGAGAGGCACCTATAAGTCAACTAAAGGGTCAAAGCCTTCAAAGGCTGAGAGGAAGACTAACGTGCTATTTATCTAACATTAACATTGTATTAGGTTTTGTAAGTAATTTAGAAAGTAAAGAATATAGCAGGGAATATACAAAAAAAACAAACAAATTTTACATAAGAGACTTGAACACCAGTGGGTTTTAATACCCCTCCAGATCTTGGAATCAATCCACAGTGGATACGAGGAAGATGTGGTCTTTTGTGACTGACTTTTTCATGTAGCATGATGCTTTCAAGGTTTATTCATGTACAATGTATTGGTACTTCCCTTCTTTTTATTAATTACTTATTTTCATAAATGATAGTGGTTTTAATTATTTGTTCATTCATCAGTTGATAGACATTTGGGTTATTTCCACTTTTTTGAATTTTGAATAATGATACTCTTAAGTATCTATGTACAAATAGTGTCTAAGGGCTCCAATTTCTCCACATTCTCACCGACACTTGTTCTGTTCTGAGAACTTTTTCCTAGCCATCATGGCGGGTGTGCAGTGGTATCTTATTCTACTGTTGATTTGTTTGCCCTTCCCTCTCTCAATATTGTCGAGCATGGGTTTGATTTGGTTTGGCTCCCATACTTAAAGCTATCCAATTAGTGTGTGCAGGTATGCGTATTGCCTAAACTTTGACTTCTTCCGCATTGTCTTAGCTCAGCTTTTCTGCTGTGAAAGAGTATTTGTGTAGATGGTAATAGGCCTTCCATATGTTCTAAACCAAGCTTTTATAGGGGAGGAGTCTAATGTGAATAACCACAACTGATTTTCATGAAACAATTTCAACTGTACATGTAGGTAGATAACTGCCATCCACATGCTGCCTGGTGGTGCATAACCCTCATGATTGATCAAGCCCATCTTTGTGCCTCTTGGTTAATCTCACCAAGACTCTCCCTTACCCTTGCTGGCCCTTGTCTTCATCAAACACAAGATCTTCCTCCAGTGATGGATTCCCTTCTGGATAACCTGTCCGATGCAAGTGCTTTGGGATCTAAGTTGAGATCCATAGGTTTTATTGGCTCATTTTCTGCAGTACATCATCAGGCGTTTCTTGCCAGTTTATCTTACTCTGAAAAACTCACTGACACCTGTCTAACACGGGTGACTCTGCAGGTATTTGAGATACAGGTAGCTTAGCTTCCAGTACCACAATCACACACAAGCCACTAAGGAAGAGAAAGGGCCGGATGGATGGTGTAGTTCAGCATTTGACTATAAAGCCTCACTTCACATGGAGCTCCCTTGAGAAAGGTTACATGCTTGCCCACTTCTCTTAGTAGATGGCGATTGGTTTTTAAGAGCTAAATGTAGTTCAAAAAACTAATGCTCAATTGCTGCGTTCCAGGGTGGTCTGATCTGCGGGTTTTCCTTACAAGCAGCACGTTTAAACGATTACATAATGATTTGTTTCAGAACGTGATTGTGGTCAGGTTAAGGATTTATCCCTATCTGAGGTTGTCTTTACGCTTGGTATTAAAATACCCTGGTGACTAGTGGTTACTCTCTAGGCCAGGAGTTTGAAACCACCACCTGCTACGTGGAAGAAAGGTTAGTTTTTCTACTCCGGTAGAGTAACGGCCTTGGAAACCCACGGGGCAGTTCTACCTTGTTCTATAGGGTCACTAAATCGGCAGCGAGATAGTGATTTTTTTTTAATGATGTGAAGTAGTAAAAGTAGTAAGCTGAAAAGCAGAGAAGAGCTGTTAGTGGCCCGTTTCTTTTTGAGACAGTCTACCAGCCGCCTAGGTGCCCTGAACGCTCGGCGCGAAGACGCAGCCCGCGGGCACCTTTCCTGAATTCTCTACGCGGCTGCGGAAGGGCCGAGAGTGGGCAGTATAGACGTGGGAGGGGTGGGTAGCCGGTCTCTAACTGCACGTCCGTCAGGGCGCCCTGGACTGCCGCTCGGAAACGCGGCCGATTTCCTGAGAACCTGCTCCCGCGCTGGTTCCTGCGGCGCCCGCAGCCCGGGGAGCCGGGAGCAGAAGCCCTGGCGGCTGGAGCTCGCACGGACAGCCGCGCGGCCGCACAAACATTAACCCGGCAGGGGGCGCAGCGCACTTCCGGGAATCTGAGCAACTCTCGCGATACGTGAGACCACCGTTTCCGGAAGAAGTCCCCGGAAGAAGCATGGTTATTAGGCCATCAGGCTACGCTGGAACACCGATATCATGCAGTCAGACGACGTAAGTTTCTTCTCCTTGTGTCCCCCGGGGTTTGTGGAGGGCACTTCTCGCCTGCTTCAGGCCACTCGGAAACTGGCCGCGCGCGAGCTGGCCGGTGTTGTCTCGCGCCGCTCCGGACCTGGGTTTCTGAACGTGGCGCTCTCACGTGTCTCCCCGAGACGCCCGAGGGAACGCACAGGGTGGCCGTCTCTCGTCCTGGCGCTTAGAGAAGAAAGATTTTGTGCCTGCTGTGTGGGTCCACGGGGAGAAGGGGAGGAGGGGATTCCGCTGGGGTTTAAGGACCTAGACATCCAATAAGCACGTTCCTTTCCAGTCGGTTTTTCCTATAGTAAGTGGCTTTCTTGTTTTTGTGTTTACATGTGTTCAACTATCTGCCTAAGTTTTAATCATGAAGACCTCTTAAGTTCACTCGCTTAGCTAAGTCCTTGAGGGCAGTTCTTACATGCAATCGAGTCGGTTCGGACTCACAGCTTCCCAGGTGAAACGCTGTTCCACGAGAAGGGGAGGAGGGGATTCAGCTGGGGTTTAAGGACCTAGACATCCAATAAGCACGTTCCTTTCCAGTCGACTTTTCCTATAGTAAGTGGCTTTCTTGTTTTTGTGTTTTACATTTGTTCAACTATCTAAGTTTGTTTTGTTTTGTTTGCCTAAGTTTTAATCATGGAAACCTCTTAAGTTCACTCGCTTAGCTGTTTGTATTAAGTACTCGAGGGCAGTTCTTAGATGCAATCCAGCGTTTCACAGCTTCCCAGGTGAAACGCCCCCTGTCCTACACCAGCCATCCTCACAGTGGTTCTGATGGTTGAGCCCGTGTTGTAACCGCGTTGTCATTCCATCGTGTTGACCCTCTTGGTAAAGTCCGTCCCCGGGGACTGACAATATGCCCCAAGTAAGTGAAATGAAGGCTCACTGCCCTTGCCTCTAAGGAGCACTTTGGCCCTACTTCTTCCAAGACAGATCTATTAGTAGTCCATGGTACTTTGAATATTCTTGATAGTTCAAATGCATAGATTTCTTTCCTTTGGTCTTTTTTAATTCAATGTCCAACTTTCACATGCGAGGCCATTGAAAGTACCATCATAGGTGTACCTTAGTCGTCAAAGTAACCTTGCTTTTCGACACTTTATTTTTTTTCCAATTTGTTTTTTAACAAAAATTTATTGTTAAGGAAAATATGACATATCATTTTAATCATTTCAAGTGTACATTTCAGTGACATTAATTACATTCAGAATTTTGTATCACCATTACCACTAACTACTTTCAAAAGTTTATCACCCCAAACAGAAATTTTATCTATTAGGCTATAACACTCATTCTTTGTCTTCAGCCCCTGGGTAATGTGTGGCCTATTTTTGGTGTCTATGAATTTTCCTATTGTAGGCATTTTCTATGGAATCATAGAATCATACTGTATCTGTGTCTGGCCTATTTCACCCTCTGTCATGTTTTTAAAGCTTCCTTTGTTTTGTATAATGTTGTATCAGAATTTCATTTGACTCCGGACTAAGTAGTTTTCCATTGCCTGCATACACCACATATTTTAAAACTGTTCATTTGTTATTGAATACTTTTGGCTATTGTGAATAATACTGCAAAGAACATTGCTGTACAAGTATATGAATCAGTTTTCTGTTCTTTTGGTTTTAACTTGAGAGTAGAATCTCTAGGTCATATGGTAACTGTGCTTAACTTTTTAAAGAACCAAGGTATTTAACATAGTAGCTAGACCATTGTATGTTCCCACAAGCATGGCACAGGGATTCTAGTATCTCTACATTCTTTCTAAAACTCACTTTCTATTTTTTCTAGTAATCAAGTGTGAAGTGGTATCTTATTGTGATTTTGATTTGCATTTCCCTAATGATTAAATGATGCTGAACATCTTTTAAAGTACTTGCTGGCAATGTCAGTATCTTCTTTGGAGGGGTGTCTTTCTAAGTCCTTTGCCCATTTAAAATTGGGTTGTTTATCTTTTTATTAAATTGTCAGAGTTCTTTATGTATTCTTTTTTTCCCATTATTTTTTAATCATTTTATTGGGGGCTCATACAACTCTTATCATAATCCATATAGCCATCCATTGTGTCAAGCACATTTGTATATTTGTTGCCATCATCATTTTCAAAAAATTTTCTTCCTACTTGAGCCCTTGGTATCAGCTTCTCATTTTTTACCCTCTCTCCTTCATGAACCCTTGATAATTTATGTTATTATTATTTTGTCATGTCTTACACTGGCCATTGTCTCCCTTCACCCACTTTCCTGTTGTCCATCTCCCTGGGACTGGGTTATGAGTAAATACTTGTGATCAGTTTCCCCTTTCCCCCCCACTTTCCCCTTACCCTCCTACTATGGCTACTCTCAATATTGGTCCTGAGGGGTTTATCTGTCCTGGATTCCCTGTGTTTCCATCTCTTATCTGTACCTGTGTACATGCTCTGGTCTAGCCATATTTGTAAGGTAGCATTGGGTTCATGATACTGATGATAGTGGGGGGGGGGCATTAATGAACTAGAGGAACGTTTTATGTTTCATTATTGCTATACTGCACTCTGACTGGCTCGTCTCCTCCCCGTGACCCTTCTGTAAGGGGATGACTTTTCGACACATGAAAGAGGTCTTGTCCAGCAGATCTGCCCAGTGTTATATTCAGTGAGATGCTTTATTCGATCTCTTCACTGCTGTTTCCATAAGCATTGATTAAGGATCTATACAAGACAAAATCCTTGACAACTTCCATTTTTTCCTTTCCTTATCATGATGTTGCCTATTGATTCAGTTTTGAGACTTTTTGTTTTGTTTATATTGATTTGTACTCCATATTGATCTATGATCTTCATCAGCAAGTGCTTCAAGTCCTCCTTGCTTTCAGAAAGCAAGGTTGTGTCATCTGCATATCTCAAGTTATTAAGCCTTTTGTCAATCCATTACAGCATTATTCTTCATATAACCCAGCTTCTTTGATTATTTGCCCAGCATACAGATTGAATAAGTGATGGTGAGAGCATGCAACCCTGGCAAACACTTTCTTGATTTTAAACCAATGTCCTATTGGCACAACTGCCTCTTGGTCCATGTACAAGTGCGCATGAGCCAAATTAGGTGCTTTGGAATTCCCATTGTTCTCGAGACCATGTGGCAATTACTGGAGATTGCAAGTGGGAGTCCCCTGCCTCCCTGAGTCCTGTTGGATGAGGCAATTGATAAACAGGTGAAGAGATCAAATGATCTGCTGAGTTGTGAGGATTCTGAGAGAAAGACCAGACTTGGTAGGAGATGTCATTGGGAGAAGCCACTCCCAGTAAGGCCGGTCAAAGAAGGCTCCTCTGAATAGGTGTCATTTGAACTGAGGCTTAAAAAGTTGAGACTGCACCAGCCCCTGAGGGACTGAAGGAAAGCAGTTGAGACAGGAGGAACTAACTGTGCTGCACCAAGAACTGAGGGGATGAGGGAAGGACTGGAAAGGACACCGCTGTGACATAGGGGCAAGAGGGAGCGGTCTGGGGATTGGAGACTTAGAGCAAGATCATGAGTCATTTAGGAAGGGTTTGTACGTTTTTAGTGGAGAACAAAATCTGGTCTATTTTAGTGAAAACGTCTTCTGAAAAGGAGTAAGACTGAAAGCAAGGAAACTGGAGTATGGTGGAAAGTAGTGGTCGCTTTTAGGTAGTGGAAGTGATGGAAAAGATGGATTTGCAATCTGTTTTATCAGTATAATGAGCAAGACTTGGGGATGGAATAAAACCACACTTACTGCCACTGGGTCAATTCAGATTCATTGCAATTGTATACTGCAGGTCAGAGTAGAACTGCCCCGTGGGTTTCCAAGACTAACTTTATGGGAGTAGAAAGCCTCATCTTTCTCCTGCAGAGTGGTTTCAAACTGCTGACTTTGCATTTGCATTAGCAGCCTACCATGTACCCCATTATGCCACCAGGGCTCCTGTGGTGATGGGGTGAGAAAAGAAGAGGGAGTGATCAAGGGACTTGTGGTTTGGAAAAGCAGTTGAGTGATCATTTTTTATTAAAATGGTGACGTTGAGGAAGGAAGAAGGTGTACTCTTTTTGAAAGTTTGGACTTGATAACGCCATTTGAACATGCTGAGGTTATGATGCAGATTAGACATCCAAGTGGAGGGGTCAAACAGGCATCTCGTTGGATTTATAAGTCTAGTTATCAAGAGAAGATGACAATTTGGAAATCATCAGCTCAGACATAGTATGTAAAGCCTGTGAGTAAAGACGCAATACTGGGAGACATTCCAACATTTAAAATTCAAGCAAGAGATGGAGTCTACAAAGGAAAATAGAAAGGAGAAGCCAATGGGCAGGACAAAAAACAAACCAAAGGCCTGACTGAGGGAATGTACAACCTCAGATCCTGTGAGACATTGAATAAAATCGTCTGATAATCATCCTTCGGCCTTGGCAGTACGGAGGGCAAAAGTGACTTGAACTGCCAGCAGTTTTCGGTAGTGCAGCGAGGGTGAACCTGCTTCATAGGCTTTTCAGTCCGAAGCAAATAGCCACATCTTCACCCAGGAGCTACTATCCCCGTAGCATACACTATTCTGGTTGTTTGACTCCTTGTCTGTTTCGTTTCCTCTTACCTGTTTCCTTCAATTGCCTGCACTCATAAAATTCCTGAAATGCGTTCCTTTTGCTTTATTTTTCCATTTGTGTTGGAGCCGTTCCTGGTTCTTTGAAGCAGCTCACTCTCCTGCTTTTGTACACCTAGATTGTAGCATTTTGACTGCCACTTCATGACTCTGTTTACATTTACC